CCCAATCCCGAGCTTTGAATGCTCAAATGCCTCACCAGCAGCAATTGCCCTATCATCTCCAGCATGCAACACACACTATGCCGCCACAAGCCGCACCACCAACCCATCTTATCCCTCCGCAACAGCCTCCTATGCATTATGATGATCACCATCGTATGCAAATGTCTGCATCGTCATCTCAAGTGTTTCCATCCCCCCGGCTGCAGCACAGCACCCCCATGGCATACCAGCACTCTGTTGGACCACACAATCAGATGGCCATGCATGGTGTGCCTCCGTACTACCCTCAACCCGGACATGTGCGCCATTATCCTACTGGACTGCAATTCTCTAACCCGCCCACAGCTGCTCCTATGATGGCTCAGACTTCGAACGGTCCATACATGAACATGCCACCGCAGAGCATGACTCCGTATAACCCTCCCATGCAGATGTTTTCTCCTAACCCTGGCCATGCCTATCCGCAGCACGTCCCTCCAATGCAGACACATAGCGGGTACCCAAGCCCAAGTCGTGGGGCACCCATGATGATGCACCAGGGCTCCCAGCAAGGACCTCCCCCTCAGCCCATGATGCCGATGAACGGACAGCAAGGACAAGGCTATTACCCTCCCCAACAACCTGGCCATATGCCCCCGATGCGTCCTGGCCACCATCAGCAACATCCTCACTTTGCCTCTAGTCCGCACCAAGCCCATAACTACCCCCACCATCAATACCGTAGTCAAACCCAAAACAACAATAACAGTAACAATAACAACTTCAATCAAATACCTCATGGGCCTCCACCTCCCATGCAACCGCAAGGCGGCCAGCCTCCCGGCCCTACCCCAAGTGTCCATCCAACCGAAGCCCCTGAAGAAGTCAAGTGAAAGCCACACTTTCTCCACCACTCTACTTCTTAAGCTGAGGTCGAGGATTGGCGGTGTAACGCACCATTTGTGTCGTTCGTTTACTTCCATGATCCTCTATTTCTGGACAACTGTGACTCGTGACAAGTGAAATATAGACCACTCGATTTCTATCCCTTTTTTTCCTTAACACGCTACCTATATGTACGGTCATCTCTATCAACCTCAACTGTCCAAGGTCACAGTCGCTTGCCACCCGCCTGTACCGCACGGTGCCGTACATACCACAATTTTACTGGACCCCCAATTACCACAACAAGGCATACTTACCTGGGTGTCTCGTTCGCTTGTCAAGGCTCACGCTATCGGCTTCACGGGTAGGCACTTCTTGTATCTTATCACAACCCCGCCACTGTATGCTAATCGGACTGAATAGGTGTCTGGCCGATTCTACATTTATCGAGTATGAAGATAAACTGACGGATACAAACTTTACTCTATGCCTTTGGTGTATACATTGACTGAATCTTTGTCGCCAAACAGCCTGCTATGCTTCAGCCACTGTTATATGCATAATCTAGACCAATTTTGCAACATGTCTCCGGCCTTTCCTTGATCACTCGGTCAGCATCGAACATCCGGAAATGGCGAAGACATCCATCATAATGGCTTAGCGATATTATCAACATTTCATCAGGCACCCATTAGTCCTGCATGGCTAGCTAGCTATCATGCCAACTTACATGCAGTTATCCAGCCGACGAAGAAGAAAGAGGTGTGGCCGAATCAATGGGGATGCGGCAAGAGAGGAAATCGTTTAGGGGAGGAAGGGGAGTTGACGAATGATTTTCCCATGTTTTTCATCTGTTCTTCTTTTCTTATTATTTTTCTTTTCCTTTGTTTCTTTCGTGACATGACCATGACACTTTTCGGGCTTCAGATTTTCAAGTTTCCAGTGTGGGGAGAGAGTGGCAGCAAGATGATGTGAATGAAGCTTGAGGACTACTCGAATGGAGTGATGATGAGGAAGGGAAAGAAGCCAGCAGGGGCAGAAGAAGTGAGGTTTTACTATTACTGATTTTGGGATTATTCATATTCCCGTGGATGTTACGACTTGACGGTAACTGAATTAGGAGAAGTAGTTTTATTGAATGGTCATGTTTTCATACTAATATGGTCCTAATAATACCTCATGGTAATTTTCACAATCCGCAGTTGCGAAGCCATTCTGTCGACGAAAAGCAAGAGCAAAACCTATGAATAAGTCACGTTAGCTAGCCGTACTCGTGATTGAAAGGTAGTTAGCCGGAAAATGAAACATCGGGAAATGAATATGAATCTCCTCAGGTCTTTTCAGTTATAATTCCACATCATTCTTGCAAAGACATGGCTATCAGCTCCCAGAGACACCCTCCGGAAACGTGAATCTAAACACAGGCCGTGCCGAGAAGGTCCATCTCAAAATCAACGCGTTCCTACTCGTAGATATGACCTCCACTGCTCCTGGTTTCCGAGGGCAGCAAGCTGTATCGGAGTCAAGCCAAGAGCCAAAGTCCCATTACATGAGCGTATGTTGATTGGATTTTTTATTTTTTATTTTTATTTTTTAGAATTTGTCAACCACTGCCATTAGCTCCTGTGTCCTCACGGCGGAGAAGCAGACCAGGAGCTCCAGATAGCGGCAATTGTTCATGTATGCCGTATTGTGGGCACCGTACTCAGGAAGGGGAATCATTGGATTGCAGCTGAGGATAGCAGGTTGCGTAGTCTCCCTCATTGAAAGAATGCATGAGGACACCGGGGGTGAGAAGCACGAAGACTTGTCTGAGGCACAGCTGCTTGATATCGAGTTGGCTTCCAGTCCGGTCGTTCGGAAACCCGTTTCCAGAGAGGCAGCAAGGGAACTGACAACACGTCTGTCTTTTTTGTCCAAGTCTGACCTTTTACCAGGTTCGCATCATAGGAGATTGAGGCGTGTATATATGAGATATATGGCGGAGGTGTAAGGGGTGATCTTACCTGGACAAGCTCATATCAACATGACTTCACCTTCCTTTGCAAAGGTGTATGTATGTATGGATAGCTAGTGGGTACGGGTATTTTCATTGGGTATATGCTCCCTATCTTATGGCACACTTGGGTTGCCACCAGGTGCTCGTTCGAAGGCGTCTTATGCTAATGTCGATGGAAAATGGCGAAAAAAAGCTGATGTTGAAGTTGGCTGTTAGTTAGCTTGAAACAAGGGCGCTAGACCGGATTTGGAATGGTTCCCAATCTCTCCTTTTTTTTCACTTGCTGTCGCTGTTAGTGGAATCAAAACAAGGGCAAAGCCAACCGATTGTCTGCACTAGCCAGAAGACAGGCTGTCGCAGGTGGAATGGAGTTTCGACCTGCCATTCGGCATCCACATAAACAAACGGGGCTAAACGCCGAACTGCAGCATAGGGACATTCGTTAAGGCGCGCAAGCTGCATTATCGGATACGCGGGAGCAAAAGGCGCCTGATGCGCCATGGTCCTTGAGCTTAAGGTATTGGGTTAGCAGTCGTTGAGATCCGGGAGATCATAGTCTGATCATAGTCTGTCCATCTTCACGGCGAGTCCAGCAGTTTGATTCCATCGGCATGCCGGACGGAAGGGCTCCCCACTTGGCGGCCGGCCTGAAGGAAAATCATTCGGAGGCGGGGATTAAGCTTACCTACCTATCCTGTTTGGTCTAGCGCAAACGGTCGATCAGATTGCTCATCCGACCTATCAGATGCAGAGTTGGTGGCGAAATCTTCTCATTGGCCTGATGTTCTAAATTTTGAAACCTAAAACTAACGACACCTTCACCCAGCAAATTATTATTGCAAACACAAGCCAGGTTGCACTCGCTCCGCTCGCTGTAGAGAAAAAGAGATATTCGCTACTTCCTATTGGATTATGAATTAGCTATTAATTAGATATTTCTATTGGTTAAGGATATATATTTCGATTTGTGCTTGCCCATTTAACCAATCAACACCACATACCCCTTATGCTTCGCAACGAGGTGGTGTTGGTTGGTTGTCTGGACGGGCCAGTCAGCTTCTTCCTATGAAATTTATGATTGGTTATATTTTACGTAATGAATGTTGTTAGAGTGGAATAATGATTTTACAGGTCACGTGAACGAAAGAACATATTATTTTATTTATTAATTTTTAATTTTTTATTAATTATTATTGTTATTATATTATTATTATTAGTATTAGTATTATTATTATTAGTAGTAGTAGTAGTACTATTATTATTAATTATTATTATAATTATATTATATAGAGAAGAGAGGAGACAAGGAGTGCAGATCTCCTAGGCCCGCAGGCAGCCTGCATCTACGGTCTGGATTTATTCTCTCGAAGTTCCGGGACCAAGGGGTTAGGCAGACAAAAGATGATCAAGGTTCATTCTTATATACCCATGCACCATTGTTTAACTAGTTAAGATACTAGTAAGAGGATAAAGTACCTAGATTTGTTCGCATATACCTATATACTATAATTAATTAACTAAGATACTAGTAAGAGGATAAACTATCTAGACTTATTTATATATACCGATATACTATAGTTTAACTAGCTAAGATAATAGTAAGAGGATAAGACTACTAGATTTATTTATATATACCTATATACTATAATTAATTAACTAAGATACTAGTAAGAAGATAAGACTACTTAGATTTATTCGTATATACCGATATACTATAGTTTGACTAGCCAAGATAATAGTAAGAGGACAAGACTACCTAGATTTGTTTGCATATACCGATACACCATGGTTGATGGACCAAGAGGCCAGTCTCCATATCAATGATAGGATCAATACAACCGAAATTTTTCAGCCGTCAGCCAGTGTTAGGCGCATTTCCCAACTCCATTGCTAGGCATCTTCGTCATGGCACGGTGTAGACCGACTTCGCTCTTGTGGATGCCGGCTGATTCTGGACGTGGTTGCGTCCTATCATGGATGCTCATCAGCCTGTCCGGTGGTGAGATCAAAGGTATAAAAGGAGCCTGATGATCACTTTATTCCTCTCTTGCTCTCCAGGCAACCAAGCAGCTCTTCAATCAATCCAAAAGACAATTCGAACCGATCCTATCCATCTCAAAAATTTTTCAAAACAATCATGAAGCTCCTCAGCATCCTTACCTTCGCGGTCGCCGTCAGTGCCATCAAATGCGGCAAAACCACGTACACCGAGGAACAAGTCAAGCTTGCCGATGAAGCAGCCTGCAAGCACGTCCAGGAGCACACTAAAGCTGGCAAATACCCCCATGTGTATAAGAACCACGAGAAGTTCAAATTCAAGGGCCTCGGGGGCCCCTTTTACGAGTTTCCTTTGAAGAAGACCCCATACAAGGGAGATAAGTTACCCCTATCTTATGTCGCTTCTCGAGAGAAAAAAAAAAGAAAAAGAAAACAAAAAAACCGTGCACAGTGACTGAAAGTGGTATATAAAGGCTCCCCCGGCCCTGACCGCGTTATTATCACCAAGAAATGCGAGAGGGCTGGTGAGATTACTCATACTGGTGCTAAAACGAAGGGCGGCTTCGTTGCCTGCTCCGGCACTACCTTCTAGAGAGGATAAACGCCTGATTGCTCCGACGCCTCCTTTCGAATGCCGACTCGCTTGAATATCAATGTTTCTACCTGCTAGGGACAGGTCTGGTTTGGCTTGGGGTAATTTACCGGGGTTACAACTCTAGCTATAACTACTATATACTAGCCTTAGTTACTTGGATGGCTTCAAACCATCAATTTAATAATTTCTCTTTTCTTTAACTCTTATTCCTCCTTTCATTCCGATGCATTCCTATATTTAGCCCTGTACCCCCCTGATCGCATTTCTTCATCGTAGTATCATGCTATAGACCCCATCAATGACTCAGCGTGTACCTGCTGACTAAACTCTATATCACAAACTTCAGACACAAACGCGCTAGACCGAATTGGGAAGAAGCACGGGTATCAACTAAGAAGGCAGTTTTTTTGATAACAACGTCTAGATAGCGATCAAGAGAACCACGCACGACTTGACTTCGAAGCTCCCCGGTCGACTCTATGGGCTATTGCTGGTATACGCCTGTTATCGTCCTCAACCCGCTGCCCGTCTTTTCGGTTTTTAACTTTTCCGTGCAAGCAGTTGGCGGCTTAACTGGCCCTTGCTTGAGTACAACTCGGCATAAGAACACAATACCGTAGCAAAAAGCTTGCTAGCCAGGAGCTATGGATTTCCTAAAGTCCGCGGTCGCCTCTGCGATTGCAAAGAGTAGCTCGTTTCCTTATACTCTCGGCGACAGAGTGGACAATGGAGACTCAATATGGACTCTTCACAATGCCACCAAGAAGGTACCTAAACAATTATTATCCCTCTACGCATTTGGTGAATAATTACTAATTACCATCTATGATCATGTAGGAAGACGGTTCTTCATGCAGCATATTTACTTTTGAAATCCTTCAAAATAGGTCATATCTTCCACTTGCAAAGAATGCGTTGCGGAAACTACGGACGTTAAGACACCCAGGCGTAATAAAAGTACTAGAAACCATCGAGGTACGATATATAATTTGACAACCTCCCTTACTGGATATGGTGTTGGGATATCATCAGGATTGACGCGGGAAATAGACGGAAACACAAATCTACATTGTTGTAGAGCGAGTCATTCCTTTATCATGGCCAGTTAAAAGGCGAAGTATGTCTGAGGAAACGATAAAATGGGGATTATATACCATCGCCGTGAGTATCAAATTTCCTTATTGTGTGCCTTGAAAGCCATTCTCATACAGCGCCCTAGTCTACTCTTAAATTTATAAATGAAGACGCCGCGTCCGTACATGGTGCGATCAGAGTATCATCTGTATACACTGGCGAAAGTGGGGAATGGAAATTAGCCGGTTTCGACATTTTAAGCTCCCTGAAGGAAGACTCCCCGGTGATATATGTATGGCCCCCATTTCCCGTGTTCCTTACAAAATCGTGTAGTGTCTGACAAGGATGCAGACGTATGGCAGTATTCTGCCAGAATCACGGCGATACAACCCTCCAGAAATACTAAAAGGTGGATGGGATGTTATAAAAAGTAACCCACTCTTCGCTGTGGACGCATATAACTTCGGAGTTCTCATATATGAGGCTTTTAACGGATCCTTTCACGGCCCTGAACAAGCTGGTCAGACTTCAAACATACCTCCCAGCATGCGGCCGAGCTATAAGAAACTTTTGAATTCTAACCCAAAACTACGACTAAGCGTAGCGCATTTCCTTGAGCAGGGGAAACGCTCAGGAGGGTTCTTCCAGACTCCCTTAATCCGCTTATCCCAGGACATAGAGAGTCTAGGACTTAAGAGTGAAGAGGAAAGAGAACAATTCATTAAGTAGGTTAACGAAGCTCAATTTCTAATTACATTATAGCACTAATCTGAAAAACAGTGAACTTGACGAATTATCCGATGACTATCCTGAGGAATTCTTTAAGATGAAAGTCTTGCCTGAGCTCCTTAAATCAGTTGAATTTGGTGGAGGAGGTCCAAAAGTGCTTTCAACTATTTTGAAAGTCGGCACCAAACTTAGTGACGATGAATACTCCCAGAAGCTTACACCCGTCATTGTTCGGTTATTTGCGAATCCGGACCGAGCTATACGCGTATGCTTACTGGATAATCTCCCTCTCATGATCGACCGGCTTCCCCAGAGAACTGTGAATGACAAGATATTCCCTCAAATGGTCACTGGATTTACGGATCTTGCGCCGGTTGTACGGGAACAGACTGTCAAAGCTGTCTTAGCAATCATAGGCAAATTATCTGACCGCACGATCAACGGCGAACTGGTTCGATATCTTGCAAAAACTGCCAATGACGAGCAGCCTGGAATCCGTACAAATACCACCATATGTCTGGGTAAAATTGCTAAAAACTTGTCTGCAAGCGTAAGTTTAGTATGTGAGAAATTGGGCTGGACTTCACTAACTGTGTAATTAGTCTCGACCAAAGATTCTTGTTGCGGCTTTTTCTCGATCATTAAGAGACCCCTTTGTCCATGCACGGAATGCCGGACTTCTTGCTCTGGCGGCTACTTTTGACCTCTTTTCCGAAGAAGATTGTGCCGTCAAAGTCCTTCCCGTAATATCGCCTGCGCTCATAGACAAAGAGAAGTATGTTACAGCTTCCTGCCAAAAATTTAATACCAATATCCCCTAACATGAATTTCATAGGCTTGTTCGCGACCAGGCAAACAAATGTTTAGACATATACTTGCAACGAATCCGCAAATTTACTTCAACCATGGCAGATACAGCACTCCCACCTCAGGAACGGGCAGACTCATCTGTTGCAGCAGCCAGACTACCTAGCCCGGCCAACACAGCAGCGTCGTGGGCTGGATGGGCAATCTCCTCATTCGCGAGTAAAGCAGGAGAAACTAAGGGAGTTATTGAACCAATCCAGCCGGCACTACCGAAGCCCAATGGAAAGGCCGTTGATAACTCTCTGCCACCTTCTCGGGCCAGATCCGCAACACCAACTCTCGCGCAAAACGTAGCACAATTCTCACAACCAACAATCGGTGGTGTTAGCCAAGCCACTCCTGATTTACTGGAAGACGAGGATAGCAATGCATTTGACGATTGGGGCGCAATGGACGAAGCCATTGATGATGAGCCAGACAGGCAAGACCAAGAACCGATTGTTTTTGAGAAGGCAGCATCTCCTAACCCAGCCATATCACCACGCCCTCACAATTTTGCTGACGATGGAGAACCCGACTTTGCAGGATGGCTAGCTAGTCAATCAAAGTCAAAATCAAAGAACCCATTGCCAAAGGGACTAAAGAAGTCTTCCACGCCAGGAGGCTCCGGCACAGCACAAGCTAAACGAACAGAGGTTAAACCAAAGACCCCTATCAAACCAGCAAAGACAATCGACACAAAACCTAAGGATGAGCCGCTAGATGATGACGGATGGGGAGATGCTTGGGATTAGATTTCTGGGGCGGTTCATATTGCTTTACCTGACCTCTTTATACATTGAATGATTTGGACGAAAAGTTGGTCGTCATGGTGTTCTCATGAATTTACTTAGCATTGGCGCTTCTTTGGTTGGAGATTTATAATGTAGACAAACTCCTCAGCACATTACTTTGAACTTGATTTTTGCACTTTCCAGCGAGCATTTCTGGAGCGAAGCGCGGGGATGGCACCACAGAACTCCCGAAAGCAATATATTAAGTCCGAAGACATATTTACTAGCTCCGGAGCTGAGAGGCTGAGGAAGAGGAGACAATAATGGGGAATAGGCGGGCCGCCTTTACGGACGGAAGGCTGGAGTGGTCGTTACTCCGCAACATGTCAATGCCCTCTGCATCAGAGGTGGTGGCTGGTATACTCCAAGAATGTTGTCCACATCAGCAGAGGCACGCGAACGAGCTCATGAAATCCAGGCAACAACATTAATATGCATGCTAACGGCAAGGCTCGCAGCTCTTTGGCGTGGCTGAGAAATGCTGGTGCCTTCAGCGAGCCTCGTATTTGGACGGACTAGCCTTGTCCTATTTAAATATTGGGCACACCTAGTTTCCCTCAAAACAACCCCTCGTCGTTCCTTTTGTTGCTGCCTGTGAGGTTCAAGAGATATAACTTCAGCATGATACTCAATTTTTAGAGACAAGTTCTGGGCTAGTCAATCATCAGCTACCAGCATGACTCTCACACATATACATCCGGAGGACGACGCACCTCCGCCTTACACCCCAACCGACCCTCTGACACCGGCTTCCACGATCAATGATGCCGCAAGTCAGGTATCGACCGAAAACATTCCATCATATACCCATGCCGTAGAGGCTCCGAATTTTGTTTCTGCAGTGCCATATTTCAGTGAGCGTGGCCTGCCATCGACTGCACGTTCTGACGGAGCAATCTTGGAACATACCCTAGTGTTCTACAGGCGAAGCCAGGCCAAAGACTTCTCGAAGTATCCTCGCTGTTGGCGCTCTAGAACTGAAGAGATCACACAGCATGATTGGGATACATTTCTGAATTACCTTTTACCACCGCATCTTGGACCAGCGTCGAATCATCCTCAGCTACCACAAAAGCTGCGTGCTGAGATTGAACGTGATCGAAAAGACAGGCCGCAAGAGACCGAGGAGGAGCGACAATGGAGAATTACAGCAGTGGTTACAGAATGGAATGTCAACTTTTTCCAGCCTCGCGGGGTTGTGATAGTTTATTGTTTTGTTCGTGAAGACGGAGGCCAACCTGAGTCTCCATTGTGTCCTTCATGCTATCCAAATACCACCTCATCCAGATCTCGCAATGATATCTGTCGGTCTTTGTTCGAAGAACCTACAGATAATACTTCAAGAGAAGTACATGAGCTGCCTCAACTGCCGAACGCGGTACCAAGTGGCCGGCAGAACCAGCAGACAACCGACGCCGCCAGTCCCCCAGCAGCAGCAGCAGGAAGTGGGGGAAGCTCCGGTAACCAATATCAATATAGATCCAGCCCTGCGGGTGGACCAGGAGTGTGGGTTTTTAACCCTGGCGCAGCAGTGAATAACATTGCCTCCATGATCTCGGACCAAGTCCAAAGATACAGCCAGTATGTATCAGAACAAGCTATGGAGCATAGCAGAATGGTGAGCGAGCAGGTTCAAGCAGCCAGCCGTGAGGTGGAAAGAAACGCTCATGCACATGCATTCTATGTCCAGCAGCAGGCTATGGATGCTAGAAACAGAGCTATCCACAACTTTACCACTTACAGAGACCAAGCCCAATCATCATGGGGTGGTCATCATGGGCCCCACGGCCGGTTTGGTGGTCACTTTCACCACCATCATGGCAGATGGGCAGGTCGAGGTTATGGAGGACCCGGACGAGGTAGAAATACTTGGGGTCCTGAAGGATGTCAGCCAGGTAGCTCTGGCTGGGGATTTTGGCAGCGGGGAGCCGACCCGGCGGGTCGGCGAGGTCGTGAATGGGGACACGTTGAGCAGAAAGGAAGAAGAGCAAGAAGCGCTTCTGTCTCTTCTTCGTCCTCGTCGTCGTCCTCTTCGTCAAGCAGTTCCTCTGAATCGCTGGATTCTGCTTCGCCCGACTCCGATCTGAAAAAAGGCGAGCTTGCCGCTCTCAAAACTGCCCTTCAGAACCTCAAGCAGCAACAGGAGCAAAGACAACTCTCTACGGCAGACTACCGGGCACGCAGGAAGGAGCTGCGACGAGACTGTAAAGCACTGAAGTCAGCTCGAAGAGACTTCCACTCGGCAGGTCGACGATGTCGTGATACCACATCTGGAGGCTGCAGTGGCTCCAGTTCCCGTGCAGCGGGCCACCCCTCTACTACTCGAGGAGAATTCAGTTCTGACATTGACGAGATAAAGAGGGATATGCAGGAGATCAAGGATCACTATGTTAATTTGATACGCAGCCTGCAAGGTGAGAAACGGGAGTTGAAGCAGGCCGCGAAGAATCTCAAACAAGAAGAAAAACAGGCCAGAAAGGAGGAGAAACAGGCTAGAAAGCAGGAGAAGGCAGCAAGAAAGGAGGAGCGTAAGAGAGCGAAGGAGAAGGGCAAGGGCAAAGCCAAAGGTTCGTTTATTGCTTTGTTGATTACCCCTATTTTCTTCTTATTCTGCCGAAAAAAGTGATGCTAACTAACTGATGTATTAGAAACAGAGCCGGATATCCCCCTGGAGAGACGGATGGAGGATATGAACATATCAAGTAATATTCCTCCTCCAGAGTATCCTCAAACTCCCCAGGCGGCCGGAACGGTGATGAAAGATGTCAAGCAGTAGTTGTTGGATATGATATTAAAAAGCAAGTCCCACTGCTTTTGTCGTGTATTAAATACTCTGATAATGATATAACTTGAACCCTACTCAAATGAATGACAATTCTTTAGTCTCTGGTCTTCAACTATCTCCTGGGTATAGCTACTATAATCCGATGAAGACTAAAAAGTTATGTCCACACTATACGTGCTCCATGGTGAAGTAGGCATGATATCACATAACTAGAGCTTCGTTCCGTATCTTCCCTTTTTATCGTCAAATATCCAGCCTGGGGAGGATATCCCTTCAAGCCTGCGCTCGACTTTCATTCCGCTCCACAAGATCTCCTACGCCTAAGCTTCGACCGACCTTGACTCTAATCTTCTTCTCTTCCTTGCTGGCTTCGTCACCGGCCTTGCCCACGTCACCAACTTCATCGCCCTCGTCAACATCCTCATCTGTATTCTTGAATGACTTCCCGTCTAGGCCGACACTGTACCCTTCATCGTCCTTTAACCATAGGCTAGTCAGGTCCATCTTCATGGCGTACGCATTCTCTCCGTCAGCGTAATATTTAGGCTCGATCTTTTCGACCTCGAATCCGAGGGTGTCACGGTAGAGGCGGAGAGCAGCGTTGTTCGAGACACGGACATGGAGGGAAACGTAGTGTGCTTTATGAGACTCTGCCATTGCTCGTTCTATCCACATGTATGTTAGCTTGATCCCCGCCGTAATGTACCTCATCCATTCCAATCTTTATGTTATTTTGTTTTCTATAGACGTACGGCTCATCCGCATCAGACGCTCGGCGATTCCCAGCCGTCTGTGTGTTCTCATGACGCTTAAGCTTGTAATATGGCCGTGTGGCAGCCCGTCCGAGGGCTCTTCTTCCATCTTCGCGAGCACATATCCGACCACTTTGGGGTTTGCGGCGGGCGCGAACGGGTCCTTTGACTTGCTCGAGCGGTCCCGGACGACGGCGACGAAGCTCAGCTGCGGCCATGAGAGTGCATGGTACAGATAGTACTTGAGAAAGTAGTTCTCGGGGAGGTTGGTGATGTTGCAGGTCTGCACTGCGGGCAGCAGCGAGATGTAGGATGGGTATGAGCAGAGCGGGACGATGTCCACCATTGTATCCAGCGCGGCGTCAGCTTATTCGTGTCAGAGTAATTCCAGGAGCAGGTATGAAGCAAAGATGCGTCTTGCATATATTCTTTTATTCTCCTCCGTGTCGTTCGTTGTCGTTGGTGGTGGTGTTGGCGATGAATTGTTTTTTTTTTTTGTTATTTTTTTTTTTTTTTCTGGGTCTTTTGGTGGGAACCAAAATGGGACAAAGCGAAGACTCGACTTTCAACGTCAACCTTCGGCCGTTTTTCCTTTGACACGCAGCAATTCAGACAATACACAATAGAGAATGACAATAGACAGCGGCCGAGGACAATAAGACGCCGCTAAGAAAGCCACCAGGGCCGTCATGGGCCAGTCGAGCGGGCGTGGCCAGTCTGGACGTCCCTACTAAGCACTAACACTAGTATATAAGCTACTTCAACGGTGACACAGGGCCACAGAGAAGCCGCAGAAACATACGGGGGTTACAGGGACTGCTCCGTGCAAGTGGATCAGAGCAAGGAGGGCGTCTTAGAGACGGCGAGACACCGAGTGAATCCACCGGCCAGGGACATCAGAGACAGGAGAACGAGTTGGCGCCCGCCGAGCTGTGTGATCATCAACCAGGCTGTGCAGGCACACAGCAGGCAAGCAGACAAGCAGGCAAGCAAACAGGCGAGCAGATGACCAGCAGGAGACAGCAAGACGGACAGTGAAGGATCTGCGGAAGAGCCTCCCAGCTTGTTCCTCGGTTTCGCCTTCAGCTTCTATCCTTTCTCTGGGATAGACGCTGATCCTCTCCTCTCCACCAGTTACGTCACTAGACGCGCTGTTGGCTTCTGAAAGGAAGAAATAAGAGGAAATCAAATACAGGGACAGCTAGAGATAGCTCTGTTTGTGTTTAAACCAGCATGGAAATTGTTCTGTTCGTTCTTGGTGCCGTGGTGGCCGGCCTGCTGTGCCCAGTGCAGACGGCAGCAGAGGCCACCATCACCCTGACGGGCTCAGATATCCCTACATCCATCTCGATACACCATGGAACGCGAACGTCTACCAGTTCGGGTGAGCTGTCCCAGTCGATGTTCTCGAGCAGCTCGACAAACTCGTCTGACAGCTTCTATACCACTACCTCGGCCAGCTACACCTTGCTGGTCGGCAGCCACACCACCAGCACTGTGACTGCAAACGAGACCACACTGTCTGGAAACGCTACGGCAACAGAGACGTCGAGAGAGCCCCAGCCGACCAATACCCGGCCATGCAACGGGTATGCTGAGTTCTGTGCTCGCAGTTACGGCAACATCACCCAGGTGGCTGCTCACAACAGCCCCTTTGTGCGGCCAGGCAACATCGCCAGCAATCAGGAGCTGGACGTCGTCACCCAGCTCAACGATGGGATCCGGATGCGTACGTCCTCTTTCTTACCCTTACTGACGATGCTAACTTCTACCAGTCCAGTTCCAAACGCACCTGGTGAATGGAACCATCTATCTCTGTCACAGCTCGTGTGATCTGCTTAACGCCGGCACCTTGGAGAGCTACCTGAAAAAGGTAGCAGAATGGCTCAGAGACAACCCTTACGACGTTGTCTCCCTGCTCATCGGCAACGGGGACTTCGTCGGGGTGAAAAACTTCACTGCACCGATCCAGAGCTCCGGCCTGATAGACCACGTCTACACACCCAAGAATCACTCTATAGCCCTGGACGACTGGCCTACGCTATCTGAGGTTATCCTGTCTGGTAAGAGGGCGATGGTCTTCATGGACTACGAGGCCAACCATGGCGAAGTCCCCTACATCCTGGACGAGTTTACGTACATCTGGGAGACCCCATTTTCCCCAACGGACAGAAACTTCCCGTGCGATATCCAACGACCGCCGGGTCTGAATGAAGCTGACGCCAGAAAACGCATGTACATGGCCAACCACAACCTGAATCTCGAGATCAGCATTGCCGGAGCCACCATTCTTGTGCCCAATACAGTCTTGCTGAACGAGACCAACGCAGTATCAGGCTTTGGCAGCATGGGAGCCATGGCCGGTAACTGCACAGGTACGTGTTCTCTCCCTCCTTCTCGTTATTATACTTACTTACACCGTCTAGAGAAATGGAATCGTCCGCCAAACTTCCTCCTAGTCGACTATTACAACATAGGCAACGTCAACGGCTCCGTATTCCAAGTCGCCGCCAAGCTCAACAACGTTACGTACAACGGCAAATGCTGCGGCCGAACCACGTCTCTTGCTTCTGAATCCGTCCTTGCTCGTTTATCTGGCAAGCTAGAGATGATTTACTTGATGATCGTGATCAACATCCTCGTCATGACGATATTATGAGCTCGTTTTCCACGGCTTTTTCTGATAGATCACTTCTGCTGCTGCTCTTTTCGAGGCTCTAAGAGCTGTTCTGTAGCTCTTCGGCAGGCTCCCAAATAAAATAAATAGCGAATAGAAACTGCCGTAATGCCTTTTTTTCGTTGTTTTCCTCCTGCTTCGTCCCGTAGAAAGAGCAACACGCAAGCAGATCCCGTCCAAGCCACTTTTTTCTCCACTACAGGAAGATCCTTGACCTGGACAACAACCATGGCAGCTCCATCACCAGCTCCAGCTTCAGCTCCAGCTTGAGACTGAGGAATCAGCCCTCCGCCTGTTTTGTCTTGGATGCGCCAGGAAGGCCAACCGCCCGGCCCGGCAGTTTGCCTACACCGCGTGATGGCGTCACAGCAAAGCGGTTCCGCGTCCGCTGATATACCTACAGCCACACCTAAACACACCCGTCGTCCTACACCAAACATCCTATATCAAACTCCCATAAGGGCCTCGCTCTCACTCTCTGTCACTCTCACTCGACCTCCCTCGCTTGTCTATTCACTCTCTTGACTGGCAGGCCTTGGGTCTCGCCCGGTGAATCGTGGCTCTCCGGTCCAGCAAGTCTCCGAGCAAATGACCTGCTGGCTCAGGAGGATCGTCTCTTGATCCTCTGCTTTTTCCTGGGCTGCTGAAACGTTGCTGAGATGGTTTAACGCCCTGCAGCTTCGTTATATCCTTGTCCTCCTGCCTGGGATTTGCGTCGCTCGTTGTGAACCTTACTGTTGACCTACGCCTCCAGGTCTGCCTCTGTATAACAGAATATCACAGCCCACAAAACACAAGCACGGCGATATCGACATGCCGCCTCCTGTCCTTTCAAAGCTATGGCCCGGTCCCCCAGAGTCGAGCGAGAAAGCTCCCAGACAGAGCTTTCTGGCTCGCCGGCCGGCTATACCGCATCGCATCCTCCACTCGCTCATATACTTCGTTGCGTTCGTTATGCTGCTGCTCGTGCAGATAGGCAATCTATCAGACCGACTCGTCCTGCGAGATATCTATTTCCTCAAGATCGATCTCTCCAACATCGTTCCTCTGACTGTTCCCAATGCTGTACTCATCAACAGTATCGCCCGAACTATAGGACTGCATGATTTCTACCAAGTTGGCCTCTGGGGCTTCTGTGAAGGATACGGAGACGGTTCCGGCATCACTCGCTGTTCCAAGCCAAAGCCGACATATGCCTTTAACCCAGTTGAAATTATTACCAGTGAACTACTGGCCGGCGCCACAAGTAAGCATTTTACTCCTATTCACATCCCCTGTAGAGACCCTGCTGATCATCCCAGTCGTTCTGCCTAGTGGAATCACCCGCGCCCTGAACATCGCCCGCGTAGCTTCAAACTGGATGTTCGGCTTCTTTATCACTGCTACCATCCTGACATTCCTTTGCATGATCCTAACTCCGTTCTCCATACCCTCCTCAGCAGCCATCCTCTCGGCTCCAAACTATTCCTCCTACTACCGCGCAAAGAAAAGAGCCGCACCAAGCAAGATCGCGATCCCCATCGCCATTCTTGCATGGGGTGCCTGGTTCACTGCCTCTGCTG